GTTGTTTTAATTGTATTTTACATACGTTGTTCCTATTAAAAATTTGGCGTAGGGGGTAAAAATGACCCAAAAAGTGTTCTGTAATATTGTTTTTAAGTTTTTGCTGCATTTTTCAAATAAAATTGAGAAAACCCATATAAATGTGTGATTCATTTTTCGACCAGGGTGTCTTAGTATTGCCCCAGACCACCGTTGTCACTATAAATGCCTGAAACTGTTATGTCTCATTTTTGCCCACCCACTGTCTCATATTTACCCAAATTGGCAGGTAAAAATGAGACAAGCGTATTATTATTTGTCTTAAAACCCATAATAATATCCTTGAATTTCTCGTTTTTGTGTTATTCTGCATCAAAATTTTCATAGTATGGTAATTTTTGAAAATTTATTTTAAAAAGATACCAGTTCAAAAATGAAAAGTTTCATAAAATGTCTCATTTTTACACCACTTGACTGTTAGGCCTTATGCTCTCAGATTTGTACATGACTAAACAGTGTTTTATACTCGTTTGCGTGGCATACATCGTAAAAACACACCTCTTTAGCTACTTTTTATATAAACTACTATTATTTATCCCAGAAGGATTAAGAGCAGGGACAGCATTATATCTTAAACGATGTAATGCTCAAAATGCTTTGAATGCAGAACACTGTATTGTGTTGGTTTCCAAGAAACTCTATTTACAAACTGCAACCACAGACATTCTGACGTGCAGGACCTTTAGAAAATCTGAAAGGAAAACATTTGTTGTGTGTTTGTGTAAATAAAATAGCCTTGGATATGATCCATTAGCCACCAAATGTATAAATGAGGAAACTAGATAACTATCTCTATTTTTATGTCTAGAATAACTATAATTAAACTTGAAAATATTTGTTATTTGGGCTTTATTTGTTAGTTAAAATGTTTCATATACGATTTCCTGCCATTTTCGTGTTATAAAAGAAAATCAAACTCTTGCATAGCATAAAATAGAATTTCTAAACAATAATGAAATAAGAGAAAACCGTAAGTATATGAAACAATTATATTAAAAATTTTTAACCCGGAAACTATTTAAATAAGCAAAATATAAAAATAAATTTTTCAATTACTACACTGTTTATTGTTATCATTTTGTATACTAACCTATGAAATGATTTTCCTGTCGATTTCTTTTTATCAACTGCATTCCTGCTATTGTAGTTACAATGAGCACATGGAACCATTATCGTCTTTCACTATATTATTTAAATTTCACACAAAAAGCAAAAAACACAAAAACTTGATCATAGAAATCACATCAACGAAATCACAACAATGCTACAGCTGTTTGACGCAAGTGTCGCATCAATATGGCGGACTGATGCCGCTTTTAACCACCTGATCGCGTCACCCTATGTTTTCAACTATCATACGTCATTCATCTCCCTTCCGTCACTCTAACCAATACAATTTAAATACCAAGTATGATCATTGAAAATGTAATTTTATGGAGAATTCACTAATATAACTATTTATTGCTAAGATGTTACTAAATGTCTGTGAAGCTAATTTTTTTAATATTTTTTTTCACTCACAACAAATTGTTGTTTGTCAATTTTGTTCCAAATTCCCTGTTTCCTGGATATCTATTAATTTTTCAAAATAGTGCCTACACTTGTATAGGCGTCAACAACGATATGGTGCTGTATCGGTGCAGATGGTACTTCCAAACAACTCAACCAATAAAAATGCGCCAATATCAAATCATAGGTAGGAATGATACCTATTCCTTTCTAAAGGCTACTACAGTTTCATGTTGCCGACAAAAAATAGGTAAAACTACTATTCTGTACAACTCAATTTTGATAAAAAATTTTAAAATGTCACACATATTTTATTTATTAATTATTGATATCCAGTTACTTACAATGAAGAAAATGAATTTGAAGTAACGCCTTTCAGTAAACCATGTAAAAACATTATTTGTGGAGCATAGGATATGTATCTAAAACAAAAATTATAACAAAAATTTTACAAAATACAAAATGTCCCCCAAAAAAGTTAACTTACAAAGTTCTCAAGTTCGGCATATTTGCAAACGTTCCATCTTCAACGACTCGAAGGTAGGGTAAATTAGACAGAGTTCTTAAAAAAATTGTATACTTTCAGAATTATACAAATGAGGTGTTGGTTTGACTTACATATCCATTAACTCATCCCTATAAGGATCCAGAGAATATCTGGAAATGTAGGTTATCGGACAATCCGTGACACTCAGCTTTGACATGCTTCTAGAGAGATTATTGGGGATTTCTGTAAGTGTATTTCCATAACAATGGATGTTTGTGGTATCGTTGTTTACACTTTCGCATCGCATTGGAAGTTCGTTGGCCAAAAATTGGAAATGAACTGGTAGTTTCGTAGTACTAACGTTATAAAGAAGCAGCAGAAACAGTATTGGTCCCGCCAGGCAGTACATGACCTGAAAAAAAAATATTTTCAAGAATTTTGTTTGTTTGCTTTGCTTTGTAATAGTTTGCTTCAAATAGAACAGCAATAGATTTTTTCTACGATCACTATTCAAAGTAGGCTTTTGCGCTTCGAAATCCAACTAGGCATTCCAACGACCTGTCAAACAATAGGTGCCAGTCCAGTGGGAAATTCTTGTATATTTAAGGGGGTAGCGACATAGTCTTGCAACTTGGACGCTATTTTTATTCGAAATAGTACTCGCCTAGTCTGCCAATTTATGAAGAAATGTATAGGTGGGTTTTTTAAATATTATTTTTATTGTGTTTGACATAAACTATTTAAATGAAATCCATTATTCATGATTTTACGTAAAGTAGATAGAATACACCATATGTCGCCACCCTTAGATATACCAAACCTGCCCACTGGTAATTCATTTGTTTGGAATGCCTAACTGCTAAGTTGACGTTTTCCGCGTACTGACATTAATAAGTGACAGTTTTGTCACAGACAAAGTTGACAGCTTTATTGTTCGTCTAACTTAAATTAGTTATAATATAATAATATTTCTTTTTAATAAAATAAAGTTATTTGTACGTAGTTACGTGTTTTTTTTTTGTTACATGCAGCCCTTACATACGAGCAGTCATTGGGCAACACTGAATTGTGGCGAGACTAGAAACCAAACGGGGCTTCTGTAAGAATTGAGCCACCACTTTTGTTCATCTCACCACTTTTATGAACAAGGACCGGTCAAGGTAAACTAGTTAAATGGTCAAGAATGTCACCAAAATTATTTTCTAGATCACCAAACTGGTTTTGAAATCCAAATTCAATAACTAGGGTTGCCAGATTTACAAAAGGAAACAGCGAGATAGCGGTGACGACAGGGAGTCAGGTTAGAAAAGCAGGTATTTTTATAAAATCAGGTAAATTTTTTTTGTGAAGATCTAAAAAAAGTTCTCCGCTTATATTTTTATATTAACCAGATCCTTTCTCCAATTTAAAAAGCGCCTGGCAACCCTATCAATAACTAACCTACTCTTAAAGTTTTACCTTGTGAAATTTAACAGGTAAAATTTAACAGGTGAAATTTAACAAGTGAAATTAAACAGGCGAAATTTAGCAGGTAAAATTTAACAGGTGACATTTAATAGGTAAGATTTAACAGGTAAAATTTAACAAGTGAAATTTAACAGGCGAAATTTAACAGGTGAAATTTAACAGGTGAAATTATAAGGTGAAATTTAACAAGTGAAACCATTCAACGTTTAGATACCTACTTGTGCGTAGGTTAATAAAATAATTTGAAATATTGATACAGTTATGAAGAATTTGCAATGCAAAAAATAGATGTCTATAAATAAATTGTAATTAAGAGTAATCATTGTCTGCGTCAATAGACATTGCGTGCTCATAATATAGGATAGATAATACGTTCAATTTTGTCACTAGTTATGTCCACGTTAATTCGAAAAATGTGCTACGCCATTTATTTATTAGTATCTACATAATTTAAATTTATTGGTTTTTCTATGGAACAACCATGATATGTTTTCCATAAATATTAATTAAAATGCGAAAATACTTTCTTGTACGTAGGATACGACAGTTTCATGAAATTAAGCTTATACTTTCAAACCTGTTGATATAGGCAGATGGAATCTAGTAAAATTAAATGCTTAGGTATCTAAAGCGGATTATTCTACAGTATTAATTATCATTAAAAAGTTACAAATAATTTTTAAGGTTAATTTATTTTGATTAACGTCCAGGTCTATGTTCCATAAGTGCTGATAATTCATCCCTTAGTTTTTACCTATTGTTGGCATGGGTATTCTTCATCGTCTTTTTCTTCTTATTCTTCTTCTTAATATTCTTCTCATTCATCTCCTCATTCTTCTTCTCAATCTTCTGCTCATTATTTTTCTCATTCTTCTTCTTATTCTTCTTCTCATTCTTCTTCTCATTTTTCTTCTCAATCTTTTTCTCATTCTTCTTCGCATTCTTCTTCTCATTCTTCTTCTCATTCTTCTTCTCATTCTTCTTCTCATTCTTCTTCTCATTCTTCTTCTCATTCTTCTTCTCATTCTTCTTCTCATTCTTCTTCTCATTCTTCTTCTCATTCTTCTTCTCATTCTTCTTCTCATTCTTCTTCTCATTCTTCTTCTCATTCTTCTTCTCATTCTTCTTCTCATTCTTCTTCTCATTCTTCTTCTCATTCTTCTTCTCATTCTTCTTCTCATTCTTTTTCTCTTTCTTCTTCTCATTCTTAATAAAAATTTTATTCAATTAATCAAAATTAATTACAATAATGAAATACACTTTGTTATTGAATAAAGGTACTCGATAAGTGGTTATCCACTTGTTTCGAGAAAAATAATTAAGAAAAAAAAAAGAAATAGAACTTACAATAATAAGCTACGATATCCTAACTGCAAAAGTCATATTTCTTAATTAAATAGAAAATATGATACATACATAGCAAATAGAAATAAAAATGAAGGAAGGGATAAATATAAGGTGATACGTCGAATACAATAAAACTATAGCAAATTTAAGGCGAGCACTTTTGATAGTTTTGATTCTATAAGTTCATTAATTTGTTTCCTAGGAATTTCATACATGATTTTTTTAACTCTTTTTTATATTTTATTTTATTACTAATTATTTTTATTCTTTCAGGCAATTGATTATAAATTTTGGATGCCAAATAAGCAAACGATCTCTGACTTAAAGATTTACTTAATTGTGGAAGAACACGTAAATATTTATTACGTGTATTGTAATCGTGGTTAGGTACATTATTGTTTTTACAGTTGAGCTACACAATAGAAATACAACTGCCTAAGGTCCAATATTTTACTTTCTGAAAATAAGAGGTCACTGGGATACAGTCTTTCCCGAGAAAAAATTACTTTCAAAAATCTTTTTTGTAATATTTCAAGTGAGTGTATATGGCACCTTAAAGCATTTCCCCAAACTATAATACCATACCTAAAATGGCTTTCTGCGAGAGCATAGTAGAGTGTTATTAGCTGCTTTTCTGGAAGGTATTTCTTTAAATATTTGAATTTGTAGAGAATGCTTTGAAGTTTTTTAATAGTATAGTTGATATGGAATTCCCATTTCAAATGACTATCTACATATATTCCAAGATATTTAATTTCAGATGTCCATTAAATTGTACATCAAGTTGATTAAATGGAGTAAGACCTCTAATATTGCAGCTAAATGGTAAGTATTTAGTTGTTTCTAGATTTAAAGTGAGAGACGTTATCAAACCAACCTTTTATTTTAATGAAATCTTTTTCTACTATATTTTTAAGTTCATTCCAATTTTCACTAGTAATACCACTAGAGGTCAAATTATTTCCGGAAATTTTTTCGAGTTCATGAATATTTTGAAAATTTCTAAAAATATTCATGAGCGAGAAAAAATTTCCTGATATTAATTTGACCTCGCGTGGTATTCGGTAAGAAAATTCCACGCCGAATTATGGTTGAAAATTAAATATTTTTAAAATTTATTTTTCGTTTCTCAACAATGCAAATTATTTTCTCTAAGTCACCAGTGAAACATAAAAGGTGTTGTCGCCTTGATTGTTGAGTTGTCATGGTAACTAAGTGAGACCCCAACCTCGAATATAATTTCAGTTTTGAAGTTGTCAAGCGGCCCGACGTAAAAAAATGTTTCGCTGCAATTATTTAGGCCTTCAAATTGCTTATTTCTACTCATTGTAGTTGCATGGGAATACCATTTGAAAATAGAAAATAGTATATTCTTTAATTTTACGTAAGTTTTGAATAACTACAAGTGGTAGAAAATTGTTTTTCTGCGTTTTTATTAACATGCGTTATGAGCGCTTTAAAATGGTATGAAATTCATAACCAGCGTCAGCAAGCATCAATCGTAGGAGGCTGTGATCATTGTATTTTGACAGTTCAAAACATTAAATAACTCGCGTTTTGTTGCGATAAAGAATATTGCACAGCAAGTAAAACCAATAAAATTACCTATTTGTTTAAAAATGAATCGATTTGAAAATCATACGCTATGCAAAATATGCGTGAAATTGTCTGATTTAATGATCAATCATTGCACCATGACTTACTTACTCGGATTAATAGAGGATTGTGGCTCCAACTTGAAAAACGAAAATTTGTTCCGAATTGTCCACGAATATTTGCACCTAAACTACGCAAAATTCAAAGTGCTGAATGGGAAAAAGGTGAATAAATTAGTGTCTAAATATTATATATATTTTATTAGACATATACACATAATTCAAAGCATCCAAAGTCCTGCATTTTCGCGAAGAAAAGAAGTGGCCGAAGAATATAGAAAACACCTTAGCATTGTAACTAAAATGTATCAAAACTAAACCTATTATGTGAACAAATAAAAACCAGTCTGTCAAAAATGGTCTGTTATTGTAAACGTCAAAAAATTTCCAGTATAATTCGCTGTTGGGTACCCCACGAGAAAAAAAATTCCACTAAAATACCTCCGTTGCCATGGTGATCTGTCAAAAACACGTATTTTGATTGGTTCAAAATTACAGGTGTGGAATTTTCAGCATTATAAAAAATTGCAGTATTATCTGCAAAACCTAAAACATTACCTCTGCTCTCGATGGAAAACAGACCATTGATGTATATATTGAACAGTATGGGTCCTAAGACACTGCCTTGAGGTACTCCGTACTCAATTATCTGTCGACTACTAGTTTCCCCATTTACTCTTACAGTCTGGTATCTATTGGTTAGGTAGCTTTCTAGACATTGTAAGAGCAAGTGGTATCAAACGCCTTACTAAGATCTAGAAATAGACATAAACATGGTTGATTTTGCTCTATACTTTGATGTATTTGGGTTATCAAAGCTAATAAGGCACATCTGTAGATTTTTCTTCTTTGAAGCCAAACTGTATAGGTGATAAAATTTCGTATTTGTTTAAAAAAGAATTAATTCTATTTTTTATTAGCGACTCAAAAATGTTTGATAAGT